TCCCTCCATCCGATCCTCCAGTCCCCGGGGGCAAAGTGTGGGAAGTACGAGTTTCCGCTGAGTTTTCTCGGCGACTTTCGGAGCTTGTCTTTCTCCGCGTCTCCCCAAACCCACCACCCACCCGCCAGCCCGCCTCTGTGCAGGGGGAGCGAGCCTACAGACCAGCAGCGCGGGCGGGAAGGAGCCCTCCAGCCCCGTTCAACAAGTAGCAATGCCGGGCCGGGACCCTGCCCCGCAGCCCAGAGGAGGGGCCGAGTAGCGGGCGCCGGGCGGGGGGGGGGGATGCAGGAGAGACACAAAGGCGGCGGGGGAAGGAGCCCGCAGCTTGTCCCGGCATGGAGCCGCGGCGCGGGGCCTGCCTGATGCTGCTGCAGCTCCTGCTGCTGCCCGCCGTCCGGCCGCTGTGCCCGGAGCCCTGTGACTGCCAGCAGCAGCGGCACGTCGTGTGCACCAACCGCGGGCTGCGGGCCGTGCCGCACCCGCCCGCCGCCGCGCAGGACGTGCTGACCTACAGCCTGGGCGGCAACTTCATCGCCAACGTGTCGGCCGCCGACTTCCAGCGCCTGGTCGGGCTGCAGCGCCTGGACCTGCAGTACAACCGCATCCGCTGGCTGCAGCCGGCGGCCTTCGAGCGCCTGGGCCGCCTGGAGGAGCTGTATCTGGGCAACAACCTGCTGGCGGCGCTGCCCCCCGGCGCCCTGGGCGGCCTGGCGCGGCTGCGCATTCTCTACGTGAACGCCAACCAGCTGCGCCGCCTCAGCGCCGCCGCCTTCACCGGCCTGGGCAGCCTGGTTAAGCTGCGCCTAGACGGCAACGCGCTGGGCGCGCTAGGCGAGGCGGGCTTCGCGGGGCTGCCCAACCTGCTCTACCTGCACCTGGAGTCCAACCGCATCCGCTGGCTCGGCCGCGGCGCCTTCACCGGCCTGGCCAAGCTGCGCTTCCTCGACCTGTCGGGCAACCCGCAGCGCGCCCTGCGCCAACCTGCCGCCTTCGCCCCGCTGCGCTCGCTGCACACGCTGCTGCTGGGCAGCAACCGGCTGCAGCGCCTGGGCGGCGCGCCCTTCCGCCACCTGCCCGGCCTGGCCACGCTGTCGCTCAGCGGCAACCGCCTGGTGCACCTGGAGCCCG